CGCTCACTGCGGCTGCTGGCTGCTCACGCTGGCTGCTGGCTACACACGGTAGCCCATGGCAACCCACTGCCACAGGGGACTGCAGCCTACACCGTCGCCGGCAACTCACGGCAGCCCAGCTCCAGGTTGAGCTGTTGTTCAGCATCTTAGCTGCAGAGGGCAGTGTCACTGGCCCTCGTAAGTGGGATCCGAACCGGGGCTCTCTGGCGTCCCAAGCCAGCTCTTAACCAACGCACCACTTGGCCGGTCCTGTCCCTGATATTTCAAACCTCTAACACCCTGATTTTTCTGTTGCTTCTTTCTCTAACCCCGCTTTAAAGAAATCACACATTCAACTGGAGAGGAACCCATTCTCCGTGGCCTCCCTTTTTCATTTAGATATTTAGTGGTTAAGGTCACCCTCCAGCAACACAGATAAATGAATGGAAGGCTCAGTTGGAAATTGAGAGGTGGCTTATAATTCAAAGGGACCTTAGAGAGCAACTTAATCTCATTCTCTCCACTTTGCAGGCTTAGAAATGAGATAGTAAAATAGCCAAGTATCATACAACCAGTTACTAACAGTTGAAACTAGAAACCTTGTCTTATGAGTCTCAGTCTGGTTTAAGTCAATTTCATTCCTTAACAGGTACCACTTGAGGGTGAGAATGAATGGTTAAAAATGGGGATAAGGGGCCAGCCGAGTGGCGCGTTGGTTGGGAGCTGGCTTGGGATGCCAGAGGGCCCTGGTTCGGATCCCACATATGAGGGCCGGTGACACTGCCCTCTACAGCTAAGATGCTGAGCAACAGCTTGACCTGGAGCTGAGCTGCTGTGGGTTGCCGGTGACGGGGTGGGCTGCAGCCCCTGTGGCAGTGGGTTGCCATGGGCTACCGTATGTAGCCAGCAGGCAGTGTGAGCAGCCAGCAGCCAGCGTGAGCAGCCATCCAGAAGTCGGCGACTGATCTGCCTCGCCTGGGAGGAGCGCGATGGTACCAGCTTGGGGCAGTGGGGCGGCATCCTCCACAACTACACTGAAGAACAAAACAAGAGCAACTTGTCTGTTCCCCTTCCCCGATTCCCCAGCGCTGTTCCCCTCCCCCAATTCCCCAATAAAATCTTTAAAAAAAAAAATGGGGATAAGATTAGAACAACAAGTGCTCTCACTTCATGGTTATCTCAAAGGGCATTGTATCCTGTGGATGGCTCCATAAACGTTCCTTCTTACTGATGCTTACTGGAGTCACGTTTGCAGATATAGTCAGTCACACCAGAGTAGAACATCATACAACAGAAACTGAGGCAGCAGAGGACAGGACTCAGCACAGCCTTCCGGGCTAATGTGGTCAGAGGTTGTACTCACTGCATGCCATGGGAAGGCATTTTATAGCCCAGACCTGCAGGCACGAGCATTCTGGGGCAGTGGACAGGACTGAGCAAAAGAGCAGGCTCTAGTCACACGAGCTGGCAGAGGCCTGCTCAGATACAATCACTGCTAGAACTGCCAAGTGACAGCATGGCCATCTCTAGGGGCTGAGGCTGAGGTGTGGCCCTATTCGGGAAGCACTTAAGACACAGATTCAGGTTTCTGGCTTTACCATGGCAACAACTTGTAGACTAATGTTCATCCATTGCCTGGCAGAGTATATTTAATCCACACGATCCTGAGGGAAAAGGAAATCAACTCAGATGTTAATCAACTCATGTGTCCAAAACAATCAGCTTAAGTAGTTAAGAGTTGGGATTTGAACCCAGAGGTATCCCAAAGGTCAGTCCCTTTCTACACCACTATACCTCCTAGAGCAGCGGTTCTCAACCTTCCTGATGCCGCGACCCCTTAATGCAGTTCATGTTGTGGTGATCCCCAACCATAAAATTACTTTCGTTGCTACTCTATAACTGTAATTTTGCTACTGTTATGAATCGTAATGTAAATATCTTTTTATTTTCCGATGGTCTTAGGCGACCCCTGTGAAAGGGTCGTTCGACCCCCAGGTTGAGAACCGCTGTCCTAGAGGAAACTAAAGGCTGTATTTACTTCTCCCTTTATACATCATTTGGGGCATAAAAAGATTTCTAGACTTTACAGAGATTGATGCAGTACGGAACAGGCACTTTAGCAAGCATGGCAGATAAATGAGATGCAGGTGACCATGGACATGGACCTTAATTCAAGAACACTGGCCGAAATTGTGAGGCACTCCCCACTAGTTTTTTTCCCTTCAAGTTTGACATCAACCTACTAAAGGTTACGTTTTTACACTAATTTTGCTTTTACCGGTCCCAATACACCTTAGATATCATCTGGTCTCTGGTTCATCTTCTTATCAGGTAACTTTTTGTTCACCTTTTTAAAAAAGCCAGCTTTCTGGAGTCCTAAGATCACTTCTGTTTTCTAATCTGTACTTCCTCATAATCTAGATAGTTCATTTTCCAAAACATGTTCATGTTTATCTCTGGTTCTTAACACATCCCTGTGTGGAAGGCAGGCAGTACAGCTACCATTTTCATCTTACAGATGAGAGAGACTGAGGTTCCGTTGCTTGTCATTGGCTAGACTGGTAGACGGAAGTAGGCAGTAGCAGTATCGTCTACCTCCTAGCATTCTTCCCTTCCTGAACTTCTGGCATTGGAACTGAACTGTACAAGGTAGGACATTTATTCTGAGAATAAATCTTAAGACTCTTGAAGAGGAAAGGCTGACTTGGAATTTTTCTTTAACCAGGCTGTTTAGCTAAAGAGAAAAGCTCAACTTCAAGTGGCATTTCCAAAGGTTTGCACTAGAGGTCTCCTAGGTGTTCCACAGGTAACATGTCCTTCGTGCAATTCCAGCTAAGAACTCAGGGTTTCACTACCGTCCCGCAGCCTGTGCATCATCAGCCCATGCCCATGCCCGAAACCTCAACAAATCTATTCAATGCAGAATCCATAAAACAGCTCACACCCCATTTATTATTTAAAAATATTTTGTTACAAAAGGAAAAAAATACAATGCAGTATAAAAGATTGACAGCGTCATCAAGTTTATTACACAATTTTCAACCTATCAGAAAGACAAACAAATCACCGACAACAGGGGGACGGGGCCTTGGCCTTTTTGAGGGGTGGGTTTTTTTCCTTTTGCTATCAGGAAATAAAACTAAAAATGTGTCGTTGAGTAAAAACAAAACAAAAATGGGGAGAAAAAAATTCTCCAGGTAAACGGCTTTTCTGGTATTCTATATTTTTTTCTCCTTAAACTGTCACCTTACTTGGTTTTCTCTATATTTTAAAAAGACACCCGGAGCTGCTCTCGAGGGTAAGCACATCACTTAACACTTGGCCAGCTGGGCAGGGTGCCATGTTTGAAGTGGAGGTGGGGATGGGGTTGGGGACAGGGGAAGAGTTACAAACCCATAGCCTCTGTCCCAAGGGAATGTGCCTCTCTGACCCTGGGGGGACTCCCTCAGTGACTTATTGAGGGCAATGTCAGAAACGTGCAGGAAACAGAGGAAGGGTTCAGTCCAACTCAGTCTCTTCCCTCTGAGCCAGAAGGGTCTCCAAAGACCCTACATCTCACATGACAAGTCTCACCTCACGTCACGTCTCTCCTCACGTTAGCTGTCACATACCCTGTAGATGAATGCACAAGCAGCATCCACCGCCCCATGGGTACTGCAGGACCTGTTGCTGCTGCTTCCTTCAGCAACAACATCACAATGTGGGTTATGGAAAAGCAATTCCATATGCCCGTGTGGAAAATGGCCCCCAGAATGGTGGTCCTTGGAACTCTGAGTTGAGCTCATTCAAGTCAGACTCCACTTCATCCCTACTCCTTATCAGAGGCAGGAAGTACCTCCAGGCAGAGCAAGGAAGCTATTAAGTCAATAGTCAAAAGGTGGAAAGACCAAATTTGTGACTTTTACGTCTACTAGTGCCAGGTTATCCCACAGTAAGTAAAAGTATGTACCTGGGGGATGCAAGCCCATGCTTACATCAAA